CGGGTGGGATCCGTCCCCGTCGGGTCGGGTCGTGACAGGATGAACAACAACCACCACATTAGGGACATCCACAACCCCAGGTGAACCAAGGCACCCATCCATTGAAATCACACCATCATCCGCCTCCACCTCTTCAACAATAGGAGCAGCCAAGTCATACAAACCCTCACGAGACTCACCAGGAGCATGCAACACAGCGCACTCAGTCGGCTGAAGGGTAGCAGTAGGCGAAACTAAAACATCATCACGATGTGGAACACCACACCTAACTCTACAAATTTTGCAATAAGAGGACCCACCTCATTAAGCAAAGGAGACACAACAGCCATAGTATCATTGCTAAGAGTAATATGACTCAATTTGAATGTCATTGAAGCACTTATATAAAGGCTTAAAAAATAATCTATGATTAAGAAGATCAATACGTATTTTTTGAAAGTGTGTTTAAGGATTTTGGTTAAAATAACAAAAATGTCGCTCCAAAAATCTAAAAGTAGGCCCCATTCTTCACATGAATGGTATAAAGCTTGGATCAGGACCTAGACTTGAGGCTAGAGTTGGAGAGAGCTCTACCCAAAAATCAACACCATTTATTAGCATAGTCACCCAACTATTGTCACACAATCATAATTGTCTGCTTGATTTCCACAACCACTATCACAAGACCACCATTGAGTAATCGCATCTATCTAACTATAATCACCTAACCATAATCAATTGGTTATTGTTGCATGTCCAAAGTCACTCACCTACCATCATAATACTACATTCACTTGATCACTACTTGCACGCATAACATTGTCTAGCCATAGCTATTCGACAACAATCATCTGATTACTACCACTTGATTACTCTTTTTTTACCACAATCACCCAATTATCATCTCCTAACCACAATGGTCTAACTATTCCTCAACCACAATTTCCTGATTATCAAATTTTTTGTCCATATTTGTTAAACTATCATCACCTAACCATAGTTGTTCAACTTTCATTGCCTTACCATAGTCTTTGGACTATCACCACTAAACCATTAATTCGACCATCATCTCCATATCATAGTGGCCCAACCACATACGCCCAACTACTATTATAGGACCACTATCATCCAATAATCATCAGTAGACTATCATCGCATAACTATTATCAACCAACCACAGTTTTCTAACTATCGCATAACTACAATTGCACAACCAATGTTTCTTGACGGTCAAACGATATTTTCAGCCCACATTGCCATTAAAGGCTGATGCAACCATAAAAAACAATGTCAATGCATGCTATAACTAGTAAGGCAGATACATGTTGTCGACATCAACCTTAATGGTCTTTTTTGCCAACAAAGTCGATGTACATCATTGACAATAGTGTCAATCTATGTCATTGACATCAACCCCAATGCTCAACATTGACACCAGATCTTATACTAGACCATTTGATATCTAGTTTCTCCTCCTTGACAAGAATGATTGAACAAATCACCCATGATCTCTTGTAGGATAGCTTCAATTTCAATGTATCAAAGCTCCTACAAATTTTAGCAATGAAAATCATCCTTCACTGTTCATATCTACTATATTATATCAACATCATATTTATTAGCAACGAAGGCCATCATATCTTGCCTATAACATGCACTAGTGGAATCATTTCAAAGTCAAAATGATGTTGAATAAAGCACTCTATGTATTATTGAAAATTTAATAATAAAGGAATCAAATAATCTCCCAAAGTTATGTGCTTATATTCAAAATGATCATTTTGACAACAAGAATTTAATGAGCGTGAGATCACTCAATTCGAATGTCATTAAAGCACTTAAAAGGCTTCAAAAATAAAATAAAATGGCTACAAAAACAAAAATTAAACAGATTTTTTAAAATAAAAAACAAATAAGATCTGAAACATTCCCTAAAGGAATATGAACGTTCCTCAATTAGGCTCCAGTTCATAGTTGTTTGGATTGCGGTTTGGTTCGATCAAGACAAAGTCTTCTTTCTTGTCCACAATTTGTTTGACAACAGTGCAACTATAAAATTTTCTAAATATATTATTCCCAACAGACTTTTCATTAACAAAAGATGTGAGAGAATACAGGCAAGCTTTCTAAGCTTCCTAAACCCTAAACAAAATTACTCATAACCTTCATTTATTGTGCATATAGAAGAAGAAAACATAGTATAACATGGAAGATATTTCATGATTTGGAGGAAGCAAGACCGTTGAGTAGCTCTGTAATAAAACTAGTCATGTTTAGCCTCGGCCGACGAAGAAGGAACCAGCGCAACTGAAGCCATTGGTGCCAGTTCTGGGCTGAGCAGACCTGGCATTTCATGCAAAGGCGGCAGTGCAGGCACCTGATGCTTCGCCGGAGTGGGCTCTTCAACCTTCGGTGTTAGCTCAGGAACTGGCCACTTTGGCTTGGGACTAGGCTTCAATTCATGACAAGAAGGAACTTTTGGCTGAAGTTTGGGTTCCTCGAACTTTGCTGGATCTTGAATCCATGGAGGGAACCTTGCAGCCTTGGGATGAGCTTCATGCCTTGGAAAATTGGTCGTCGGCCACTGTGGCCTGGGGAAAGGCCACTGATGATGCGGTGGAGGAGCTTCTAAAGTAGGCAACAATGGCGATTCAGGCATTGGAGGGAGAAGCTGAGTAGCCCTGCATGTTGAGACATTGCAGGAGATGAGAGCAGTAATGAAGATGGAAAGAAAACTGGAAAGAGTGCTCTGATGAGGCATGATTGTGGTAGAAGATTAATGCAATGAGAAGCTTGGGATATGTGGGTGGAGAACATGAATATGGTATTTATATGTGTAGTTCAAGTGGGTTGGTGAGGATTTTGGCTGTGAGGTCAATTTGTTCTATGATAATGGTTAGTCTGCGGTATTTGGTTGAAAATTCTAATCTGTACTGCAAGAGTCATGTGGTGGATTGAAGCCTCGTTAAGGTTTCGTTTGGGACGATTTTTTTACTGATTCTTAAAACAATTTTTTTGTATAAAATTTTTAATTTTTGTACTAAAATATTGTTTTAAGAAGCAGTAAAAAAATTGAAATCTAAGAATATTCTGAAAACCATGGCTTCTGCTTATGCTGTTTCTAATTACCATTGAAGGTCAGAAGTCATGGCTACCAACCCATTACATGTTTGATGCTTGGATAAAGTGTGGGTCTCCGAAAGGATTCTGCTCGTGGTTCGAATGCAAAGGGTACGATCACACTATCCTATAGGACAAAATGGTCGTAGACGCAATGTAACCCTTCATCGACACAGCGATGCAACATACATAAATGTAAATCAATCTACAAAATGCAAGACAAAATAATGTAAGTGATCGATGCCGAAAAAGAGGTCAACATAAAGCATGTTTAATTTTGACTAATTTAAGACATCCAAGAAATTAATCTGTGGTTATGCTTGTAGCTGGTGTGATTAGGTTTAGGAAGTTTTTTTTTTTTTTTTTACTCAAATCATTTATAGACCTTATTAATTGAAATGATTTTTAAGATTTGAAGTCAACTTAGGGCTTTATTTGGAATGTCTTTTTGACTGCTTTCGTGGTAAGAAAAGTAATTAGTAAGAAAATAATGTGTTGTAAGATAGTTTTTTCATCGTTATTTTAAAATTTTGTCTTTAAAAAGATATTTAAAAAAAAAAAGCATTTATGAAATTATGGCATAAAAAGGAGCTTTTTAAAGTAAAAATAGAAAAGTTTAAACTCTCCCAAATAAAAGCCTAAGCGACTTGTTTGGGACAACTATAACTTTTTATAAAAATTGTTATAAAGTTGTTATGGGAAAAGTAACTTTTGAGAGCTATTTCCTAGAAAAAAAAATTAAAAACAATGAGAAAGTAATAAACAAACAAAATTATGATTATGACCTGAAAAGCAAAGCAGTAAGAAACTTGTTCCAATCGGAACTAAAAATTTGACTCATTTGGTTGCCTTGAAGGTTAGAAAACATATTTGAAAGTATGATAAATTTATTAACTTTAATTATTTTGTTTAATATAGTTAGAAAATAACATTTTGAGCTCGAAAAGGACTTTAAAATTAATTTTGCACTTAAAATTAGGGTCTGTTTGAGACGATTGCAGCATTTTATACTGTTGGTTATGAACCTGTTGTGAAAAAATATCCTTTTTAAAATATGTTGTATAAAGCAGCATTTTAGCACAAATTGTTTTTAAAAGCTATGAAAAAGAAGTTGTCAAATAAAAATTATGATTGTTATAAGAAAAATAGTAAGAAAACTATCTTAAACAAAGCATTAAGTGGATGAAAGAAAAAATAATATCAATTGTTCAAAATGATCACATGCAAGAAGGTATCGAAGATGAACTTAAGGAAACAACTGAGATAGAAGAAGGCTAGTTTTTATTTATTCATGCTTCTTTTGAGATGGCTTTTTTATTGCTTCTTAAAACAGCTTTATAGTATAAAAATTAAATTTTTTGTACTATAAAGCTGCTTTAAAAAGCAATAAGAAAGTCGTTCCAAACGAAGTCATAGGCTTTATTTGGGACAGCTTTCTTACTGCTTCTTAAAACAGCTTTTATGTACAAAGCGCTTTAAGAGCTCATGGTCTAGCACATAGTGCTCACTAAATCAGTATAATAGTGCTCTACTTGAGAATTTTTATATTTTTCAAATAAATTTATTTTACATATTAGAGTTATTACACCCTTGTCATCCAAGCTACCTACTATTTCAGACATTTCGGTCTCCAATAATCAACCTAAATACTATAGATAACTTGTTGGTTCTCTACAATAATTAACCGTAACTCAGCCAGATATCTTATTTAATGTAAATTATCTATGCCAGCAAATGCATAATTCTCTATTTATCTACTTTCAAATTTTGAAACGCATGCTCAGGTACATCTGTGGGACACCAAGATCAACCTAATCCGAGCCCAAATGAGTCCGAATCAAGGGTTCAAAGCTCTGTTGGAAGGTTCAAACCGCAAATTGAGTTACCAAACGGTCTCCGATTTTGACGAGCTTATACTCGAATCGAACGGCTCGACGAGAAGAATTCAACGAGCCCAAGATCATCGAATTCCGACATCATTAAGGCCTTCAAATGACCAACGAACGGTGCATGATCAAAGGATTCAATATCGGCCGTCCATTCAAACCACTCCCAATTCGCCCTTGATCTCACGCCTATTTACGGGCTATGCCACTCCAGAAAAACTATAAATAGAGCCCTCATTCTACACCAAGGGGACTAAAGTGAAGAGAGAGAAGAAGAAGAGGAGAAAGGGGAAAAGGAGATTCCTCACCTCCTCGACCACCTCCACCTGACACTCTTTTACTAGGTATTGTGCCTTCCTTGGATCCACATAAATATCCTAATGTGTTAAAAAAGCAAACTACCGTAGCAAGATCTTACATTGAGGCAAAATATCATGCTCTAGTTATTGCTGCCACATACGTCGTTTGGCTACACAAACTTCTAGCAGATTTTTAGATTGATATTTCTGAACCTATCAAACTATTTTGTGATAACATCTCTGCTCTTTACTTATCCAATGATCCTATTTTTCATGCTCAGACAAAATACATTGAAGTTGATTTCCCTTTCATTCAATATTGTATTAAGAGTAAAAACATCATATATATAAGCTCATTTACTTGTACTTGCTTTCAGCTATGCTCCACTTGCACTGTACCACGACATCCTCCTCTATTCTCTGCCATTGCTCAGTTTAAGTTTCTAGCTCCTGACCGTCCGATGCCTGCTCAGGCCACTGGATCATTGAGATAGTAAAACTTATATTAAGGCTTCATCTGGGGCAGCTTGTTTAATACTTTTTATAATAGCTTTTTAGTATAAAATTTTCTAATTCAAAAATAATTTATACTAGAAAACTGCTTTAAAAAAAATAAAAAAATATCTCAAACAAAGCCTTCGGCGGCTTTCTTAATGCTTCTTAAAACAGGTTTTTTGTATAAAAATTAAAAAAATTGTACTGAAAAACTACTTTAAGAAGCAGTAAGAAAGCCGTCCCAAACGAAGTCTAAGTATCACCAATGCTTTGTTAATGATGATGGACAGAACATCATCAATCATTTTTATGATATTAGCCTTCCTTTAACCATCTTCTAATAAAAACACACAAAAAATATCTTGCTGAGGGACATATGCTGATGTAGTGGATCGACGGAAGACTCGACCTGCAAGAAGGATTTCGATTTCCCAATCCAGGGAAGAAGAAAGGCAAGCTCAAAGGCTTCAAGAGTGTAATATCATTCAATACCTTGCCTATTACAAACCCTCCTATTTATAAAGCAAAAGAGCATTCTAGAAGCTCATTCCTAACAAATTAGATAAGGTGTCCTAAGGAACCAACTTAGCTTAAGATGCACCGCATCATATGCCCGATGATAAAAGTTACAAAATTTACTTCTAATGTAGGGTGTGTCTACTTGATTTTCTGGTCGATGACAAAACCATTGATTTTTTTTTAAAGGCCTAAAGTTACATAAATAAAAATTAAGTCAAAAGTCATAAAAACTTCAACAACATGTAAATCAAAAACTCATCTTGGTATGATATAGTAAAAGCACACTAAAAATTTGCTCAATGAATCCATCTATTGTCTATTTTTGCCCATTTTTTAGACATATGGACCTTTTCGAAGGGAGG